CTATTAGGTCAGAAGATTGCAGTCATGATCATTCACCATGTGGGGCCGTACTGGCTAAGTCAAGGGTCTTTATGGAGCCGTCTGGCCAAACCATCAATCAAAGAACCAGACATAACCATACCACGTAGTCGTCTGGCCATACTACGGGTTTACGTAGAGTTGTACTAGCCAAACCACCAGTTAAAGGACAAATGATGTCCTTATTAATAGAATAATATTTAAGAATGAATTGAGTGATATTCTCAGCTATATATTTGTTCTTTACGAGCTAGAGTTATTCTTGAATTCATCACCCTCGCCCAACGATTGTGGAGGGTAGATGAATTTTGTTTAAGTTTTAGATAATTAATTTCAATTTTAAATTTTAACTCTTAATAGATGTAAATCTTTAGATTTTAGGTAGAAATCAAAATAAATCCCTCTGGTTGAGATTAACTTTATACGAACATCGTCAGAGTGACATTATAGTCATTTGAAAATATTTATACTTATAGGAATTTGAAGGCATTTAAAAGGGTATTTCCTAGTTGAGATAACCATTCAAAATGGCCATCATCAGAGAATTAATTTCTTGTTAAATCAATACGAATGTTTCTCAAGGTAGTGAATCGCTTCTCAAGGTGATAGCATATCTCTCAGAATTGTCGCTTGCTTACCAAGTTGCACTCTTAGAGGCATCGGCACATTTTTTTTTGTATCACATTTAAGTTTAGGAAATCATATTTTAATGCATGAGGGATATTTTGAAATGTTTAAATATAATCAATTGCACAATTAATTATCATTAGAAAGTGCGCAAGATTTCATTTGGCATTCAAGAGACCTTCTATCCGCTTATATGAGTGTTGTGGATCTAGTGGCGTGAAGTCAAGTTAGGTTTTGCCTATTGTCTAGAGGAGAGATGTTATTTTAGTTCATTTTGTCTCCTTCAAGTTATCATTTAGCACAGTTTGTAGAGGGTGTTTGTTCAATCAACGCTAAAAGATGATGTTTGTGTTCTAGGAGAATTATCCTACTCATTATTCCCCTATTCTCCTCGTAGGCAGGCTAATTTGTTCAATACAAACTCTTTGTCATTCCCAGTAGGCTAAGTTTTGTGTACATTATGAAGTACCTACTCTTGCTCATAGATGAATTATAGTGTGTACTACAAAATTCTTGTTTCTGCTCACAGGTGAATTATAGTGTTCTTTACATGTTTCTTATTACTTCCCTTTATGCGAGTTGACATATGCATTAGAAGTCCTTGTTCTTTGCCTGCAGGAAAATTACTATGTACATCAAAAGCCTACTATCCTTCCCTGTATGCATGTTATGATGTTTGCATTACAAATCTCCTCTTCCTTACTGTTAGCTAGGTATCACATTCACTATACATGCCTTATACATGATTGTAAGCAAGTCATGTTCATCAAAAGTCCCTCCATTGTTGTCTTTTTAATTTTACAAAATTAGTTCTTTTTTTGGGAAAATATTAATTTAGGTTTGTTTCACTGTTGTTGCTAACAAGAGTGCTGATACATTCATTACAGACCTCTTTTTTCTTCAACAAGTTAGTTGTCATGCTTATTACAAGTACCCTGTTTTTATTCTTAACCAAAGGTGAGCTGATGTGTTCATTACACATTCATTATTCTTTACCCGTAGAGAAATTAGTATGTTCATTATGAGTTTTTTATTAACCCCCATAAATGAGCTACTATATTCATTAAAAGTCATATGCTCGTGTCAAATGTCATTCATTTGAGGTAATGAAAATAACACTTTAGTGTTCCCATTGTCCCAATGAGCCTTTTAGATTTTGTTTAGTCGCATAGGCTATTTTAAAGTCTCCTTTTTACTGAAAAATTAAGCAACCTCCCGACATCTCCACCATTCGGAAAAAAAAATTGGAGAGTCAGGCCTGCCCACCACGCCAAAAAGACGTGCAAGGTCAGTGTCATATGACATTGTGGTTGTGATCTTCATTCCCACCATGTCAAAAAAAGCGTAAATGGATCTTTAGGGTACCTGCATCGAAGCTCATAAATTTTTGTGGCGGTATGAAAGCACTGAGTACTTAATTTTATCTTGTCGTGCTAAAAAAAGCATGCACAGGACTTACCTGATTCGTCACAGGCGTCACACCGAGCTTCCTCCCATCATGCTTTAAAAAAGCGTGTATATGAGGTCTACTCGTTGCGCCACAAGAGTCGACAATGAGATTTGAGGTTTAGAGTTAATCAATCATTATACCTTTGCACATGCTATGGGACGACAGCTATGTCGAGATGACAATGGCAATACACAATCTGCTTTTCTAACTTTTATATGCTTATCTTTCTTTTTTTACCTAGTAACAATTATAAAACTAATTATAGCGAGAGGGAAATAGTCTCTCTATTAGAGGGAGAATGAAAGTAGGGGCTGGTTGTTGGTGGTTGTTTGAGATGGTTTAAGCTGATGTATGGTTAAGGGAAAGGGGTATACGTAGTTTTGGTAGGGAGTAGATGAGGTGTGCAAATTTGGAGTTGTAGGAAATGGGGTTGATGGCTGTTTGTTGTTTGCCTTGCCTAAGAGGAAGTGGAAGGAGAAAGAATAGGTTGATAAAGACTTGGAGTGAAGAAGAGTGGGCTGCTCGGCTAGGGGTGTAGATGTTGGAAGTAGATATGTTCTAGTGAGCTAAAAGCGAGAAGTTCTGTGAGTTGCGGGCTGTTGGGAGTGTAAGTAGGTGGCAGGTTGTGTGGAGTGGCTAGGGAGATGTAGTGGGGTCTTTGTGTTTGTAAGCTGGAATACTAGTCTAGGGAGCCATAGTTGGGTTCGTTTGACTGAGAGCCATAAGGACGTAGGAAGGAGATGGGCAGTGAGGTACGGCTAGAGCAGAAAACATAAGATGGTTGGATGTTGGCTACTGGAATGGGCAGAAAATGGTAGCAACCTTGGATGGAGGCTGTTATAGTTGAGTAGTTCAACATAGTGAGGGAGATAGAACTAGGAGTTGCGGTTTGCAGGGAGATTGGCTGGAGGTGCTGGGAGGTTTGCGTGAAACAGAGATCAAGGTCGGAAGGTGCAGGAGCTCTTGCGGCTGGGAGATTATACGTGAGGTAGAGGGTTCGGGAGCTGTTGTAGTGGAGAGGAGGGGATCGGGTAAAGGGCTGCTCAACTGGGAGTAAGGAGGAGATGGAGAGGGATCGAGTGCGAGTTTTAAAAAGAGTCACGGCGAGCGAGGGAATGGAGGGATTATGCAAAGGGATCAAGTTTTTCCTTTTTTTTTTTATTCCGCGTGAAAGATAAGATGAGACAGCGGGCTGGCAACAGCAGGATTGGGCAGCTGAGACAATGCTTGAGCAGGATTTTAACTGTAGGATAGGATTGAGGTAAACAGTAAGATAGTATTAATTTTAAATTTATTATTAAATAACGTATAGGTAAGTAAATTCTAATTTAAATACTATCTTAAAATGAATAAGAGCTGTGAATTGATTATCATGACATTCCTTGTTATTTGTGCACCTCAATTTGCATGAATTGCTCTGATTTACATTTTTACTCGCATAAAGAACCCAAGCAATATTACAGTCGTCTTTATGTATTCTCGATGTTCCAGAAATAATGGCGAAGTCCATTTTACGAACGAGCAATATGCAAACGCACAATATTTTGTTAGTGGTCCATCGATTTCGATCACACTTGCTCGATTCAATTGCAAAGGGATTTTCCTTTGGCTAATTTTGATATTCTGAGCTCAACAATGAAGTTCTCTTCGTGACCAGGATAACATTTTCGCAGTTTTGTGTAGTGTCACCTCGAAAATTCATGCCAAATTTGCTTTTTTTTTTTTTTGCATTATATGATGACCTGAACAATATTACAAGTTTTTCTATATGATTTTGACATTCCAGACACAATGGCAAAGTCTGTTTTGCAAACTAATAATGTTTGAGCAACATTGCACAATCTTTCATCTACAGTCTGTCAATTTCGATCGCCTTCGCTCAATTAAATTCTGAGTGATGTCTAGTCTGCCAAGAATAGCTGATCCTTTTTTTTTTCTTGCATTGATCATGTCACATCTATGGAGGTCAACAATACTTAACATTACTTTACCTTTACTCTACCTTCTTGACTAAAAAATCCATATCATTGTGCTCTACTCTTATCAACAACCACTTTCATCTTCTTCATATCACTGTCGCTCCCAATCTCCTTCAGGCATTACCTACATCAGCTTCAGTATAGGGGCACAATATCCTTGATAGTGATTATTGCATTTACAAAAGACGTCTGATGCTAAACTTGAACAAAGATGCTACAAACTTTCTATGAAGTTGTACTAGAGTACAATTTGTAAAATTCATTTGATGGGGTGGTCTAACTACACTTTTTAAAAAAGAATGAGCATTATTGAAGTAAAAGAAAATTTGTGTAAGACATATAAATAAAGAACAATGTTTGAATTTTGAAGAAATATCTCAATTTAGTTATTGGTTCTCTCATTTCTTGCACATTTAACCTAAGCCCATCACAAATATTCTTCAAAATGAATGTACAAGATCATCTCTACTACGACCTTTTAGAGACGTCTAATAATTACAGATGAATAATATAATACCATCAACAATATAAACATATGTTCATTGAAAGTTTGAAGCATCTTCACAGAAAGTTGATGTGTGGATATTGGAGAGATAAGGGCTTCTTCAGTATTCATATATAGTTACCTAAACCTACTATCATCTCCTCTAATTCCATTTTGGCCTTGAGGCAGGCAAGAAATCAAAACTATTCCAACAAGGATCATTAATCTTCAAATAAGGTTGTAACAGTCTAGAAATCGCCAAGATGTTTTGGTTCAGCGCCTCCAAAAAAAGTAAAAAAAAGAACAAATAATTCTCATCAAGAAATATGGATTTACAAGTGAAGTGTTGTATGGTCAATCACCCAAATAGAAGAAAAGAAAGAGCATGTAATTCTCATCAAGAAATATGGATTTATGTGGGAAGTGATGTATGATCAATTACCTCCTTTAAGAGCAGTCTTTATATCTTCAGTTTTTGTAGTGACCATCTCTACAAATCCCCAATAAGGTCTACTCCTCTGGCTTGGATCTGGAAGGCTTTTCCTTCCCATTACAATAAACCTAAGCAGCATTTGCTTCTCAATGTTCACCTCCTTCACATTACCACATTCAAAATAATATAAATGAGCAACAACTACTGCTACAATATTTCAGTATTATAAAAATTAACCATTGCTGAAATAACATCTGATTTAGACAAGCTTCTTCATCATTACAAGAACCAATGAAACATACCTCAGCACCATGGCCACCTTCAGGTTTTTCTTTGTCAGCATCCCCATTATCATTTTCTTTATTTTCTTTTGATCTTGTCTTACCTTCCTTTCCTGAATCTGGAGACTGTTTCTCTTCAAGTGGTCTTTCACCAGACTCTGGTCGAAGGACTATGTACATCTTCTGCACATCATCAGCGCCATGAGCTTCCATCTTTCCAATTTTGGGCCTGTAGAAGAAAAATATATCCCCTCTCTCCTACATCCAAAAAATAAAAGCGTTTACTTGTAACATACAAATGCTATCAACTACTCTAATGAAGAACTCAAAAATAAATACTACAAAGTTTTCAATTCATAATAAATAATAAAAATGTTTATTGGGGAGAAAAAATTAATGGTCCTCTTAAAATTCATGACAACGCTTTAATTCCGAGTTAGTAATTTATCATTCAAATCAAGAAGATAAGCTTCTTTTTTTATGTCATTTGAATTGATAATATTTTAACTCAATCTCAATATAGGCTTCGCTGATCTAAGAACAAAACGTCAATGGGCAATTTTATAGGTGACTGTGGGCTGAAAGTTCGAGTTCAAGATCTTCAAAAAATAGCACCAATAGATTAATTACTATTCACTAGGGTTATAAGAACACAAGTCTGAGCTCATGACTGAGACATAGAAAAAGAATTTCTGTGAACAAATGAAGAGCAAAAGCCTTGTAAACTCCTGCCATTACTGGCTGAAGCCTTAACACACCGAGTTGATGCCTAATTTGCAAATCCTAATCTACCAATTACCCCTCCAAGTGTTGCATTGCGCTAACGCAATTATATGAAATCTTCATTTTTTTTTTGTACGACTGGTATTCCAACGGGAACACCATTGTTCTATTCCGATTTCTTCCTAATCTTTGTTCAAATTCGACGCTAAATAGTTTAAAAAAAACAAACAGAATGACTGATTTTATACAAAACAAATGCACTAACCTGCAAGAAATTCTGTTTGCTAAAATGGTTAAAAAAAACTACTTCATTTCAAAGAAAATGAAAAACGAAAATGAACCTCTTACTCTCTTGAAGCAAACTGATACTAACCTTGATAATTTGGCAAGATTAAAAGATGAAAAAAAATTCAAAAAGATTAAAGATTTGGTGGTAAGCACATACTTATCAAAAACCTGTTAAAAAGAATATCCTACGCAGAACTAAATGCTCGGCATTTATGACCTAAATGGAATATGAAAGAGAACAAAAGGATTATTGAGGAAAAAAAAAAAAAACTGGATCTCCACTTTAGGGTCTGGCCTTGTTTTCACCTCCTCTCCTTGCCCCATGGCCTTTTTGGGTATTAGCTTGTACAAGAAAGAAAAAGAACAAGTTCTTAGTGCTTTGTACTGTATATATAGGGTTAGAGAAAGACGTTCGGGAAGTTTTGGCAGATGGGCAAGTGGAAGCGTGCATGCCGTTAGGGTCTCGTATGTGGCGATTTATATGGAAGCCAGGTGGCACCGTCAGATGAGACGTTTATTATATTTTGAAAACAGTGTATTGGATTTAATTTTTTATTAAAATAGTCTTATAAAATTTTAATATATGTCCATTTTTTATAATATTTTTTAAACTAATTATATATAAACATTTTAGTATTTTCTAAGATATTTCATAAAAAATATTTTTTTTATTTTTAATTTATCAGTAAATTAAAAGAGTAAAATTTAATATATTTAAATATAATAGAATTGTCATATATTAACTTTTTAATTTTATTCGGATTAAAATTGGTCACCAATAGTGACATAAGATTACAAAATTACAAATAAAATAATTGTGCGTTCAAAGCTATTTATTCTAATTTATATTTTTATATTTATAACTAAGATTGCTTTCATGTAAGTTTAATATTATTTAAATTTACTTTGAGTGATGGGTTTTTATCACTTAAACTTGTTATTTTTAACTCTTTGAGTGCATTCATATATTTTTTCAAAATCATGAAACATAATGACACCGGAACGGAGGGCTCGACAACTCCTGATCGAATATCTGGTGATCGTGATCGAGTACAACACAAAGAACTCCTTCTCGGAAGAAACCACCTGAATGCATTTCAGGATACAGAAATAGAAACCAAACTAAACTCAAATCTTATTCATCCTTCTTCATTACTAGGCAAAAACCCTAATTTATAGAATTTGTAGGCTACATAAAAGGCAATAGGCCGCCTAAAGAAAAATATATAAGTCAAATTATATAATTATGTGGCCAATACATGGAGTAAAGTTTATAATAAAAGAATCAAGCAATAGCTTCAGCGTCATTCAACCGGGGTAGGAGAAACTTTCAGCTCGTAGAAAGATATATGGTTGGCCACAATAAGGATGCAGGTTTGGTAGGCTAAACCAATCTGGATAGATTCGCCCGATGTCAATTTGTCTACTAATCTTCAACATCTCTAGTTTAGCACAAGTGGATAGAACATTTGTGATTATGAAACTATTTGTAATCATTTGTATTTCTTCTAGATAGCATCCTAGAGAAGTAGATGGAAGCTTCAATATCCAACTCATTGGGGAGATCTTGCATTGTAATTTTTTTATTAGTGATGATGATCAAGTTCATTGTCTTATTGTGAACACTATAAGTGAATAATTCATGTTGGACATCCGGCTCGCTCTGATCATCATCATACAAAGGCTTATCAACATCAAGAACTCCCAAGAATAGTCCATCATCATACTTGTCAATATGGGCTCATTATAGATAGACAAAGATGATAATTGCGACAACAGATCTTTAAGCTCATTAAATATGGACTCGATTGAGGGTGTGGAGGAAGACTTACGAGGTGGGCCTTTAAACATGTATGTGTATGAAGAAGAGCTCTGATCGTCTAAGATATCCTCTCTGTCATTGATTCATAAGGATTCAGTCTGAACGGAGAACCTATAAGCCACCATTGGAACAGATTTGACATGTGGTCGAATCCCAGGAAAGTCCCGGGTGACAATCGCTCTTGGAATTGGGAAATCTCTCGTTGAAGATCTTCAATCATTATTTCTTGAATAGGTTTTTGTAGAGTCCGACGAGCCCACAGCTTATTCTGCTTTATCAAGGTACTTGTTAATTTTGGAGGTTGAATTTGTGGCCGAGATTGAATTGTTTACTTTATGTGAATTTTTAGATGGGATAAATGTGGTTTCTAGGATTCTACCAAGATCAATGTCCGAAAATTCTGTCTCTCATCCAAAAAATAGTCTTGATCAATTGACAAGGGAAGGTGCTAAACTGCAACAATCCAGCAAGAGAGCTGACCCAATGTTGGAGTTGATTACCAGCAGCAGGATTCCATCATTTTGTCCTTGATTTGCTATCCTTAAGTACTGCCCTTCCTCTCCTCTTGACACTGTCTTACTCAGTCAAGAGGGTGTAGAACTACACCAAGAAGGCTTCCAAGAACTAGAAAGCCAACGATTCCTCAAGAACTCCACCACCTGAAACTATCGGGATATAGAATCAGTCACCAACATGACTCAAGAAGAAAGGCAAATGCCTTCCAAAAAAATGTCTCTTCTTAAAAGCATAAAGTGCACTAGTGAGAACAACATGACGCTGATGAGGCCGAACAGAGTGCCTAACGCCTGGGCTAAACTCAGGATGACGGCGGTGTGAACAGACTAGTCACTTGTTTTGAACTCCTCTCGAACCACAAGCATGAACGAGGATCTTTCTGAAAGGCAAGATGCTTCATCATCGCTCATCGTGCACTTAAGCGGCGGCATCCTCCTTCCTATTCCAGAGCTCCTCTTCTCACCACATGCATCTTGCCAGCTCTGATAGCAAATGACACCGGACCGGAGGGGGCTCGACAACTCCCTGTCCATGATCCAAAGACCGTGACCAAGCACAACACCAAGAACTCCTCGAAAGATATCACCATCGGAATGCACTTCAGGATACATAAATAAAAACTAAAGTAAAATCTTATTCATTCCTCCTATGACAACAACCCTTATTTATAGTATTTGTAGGCTACATAAAAGCCAATCGACCTAAAAAAATATAAAAGCCAAACTATCTAATAATGTGGCTAATATATGGACTTAAGTATATAATAAAAGAATCAAGCAATAGCTCCTGCGTCACATAATTTAATGTTTCCAATTTCAAAATTTTCATTTTTTTTAAGTTTTATAAAATAGGATAATAAGGGAAAAAATTAAAATTCTCATATATTGGCATTATTAATGCATGTTTTCAACTCTACATCATGGTGAGTGTATGTGGATATTTTTTTAGTTATTTAGATATTTTCCAATTTATATGAAAATTTTAATTATTAAAATTTAAGTGAAAATTATAGAAAATATTAAATAATTTTAATAAATTTAAAATTATTTATGAATGTTCACTTCATATGCATGAGCATGTGATGGAAAATTCATACGCATTTGGATGAGTACAAATCATGCATTTATATTTTTTATTATGAAAATGCTCCTTATTAATATTAAAAGGTATAAATTATAATTATTTTAGTTATTTAATGCTTAATTTAGGGTTTTTAAAGCCAAAGGTCAAACACTAAATATCTCTAAATGTTTTAGAAAATTTTAAAAGTATTAAGTATTTTTTAATGATTTTCACCTTATAAAAATATTAAATAACTATAAAAAATATCCTTAATATTTGAGAAGTTATATCAACTTAATTGGGAAGATGGAAACTAGCTTTTTAATTGTTTTCTAAAATAAATTTTTAGCACAAAAATTTTTCAAAAAATTTTTTGTACTAGAAAGCTGCTTTAGAAAACAATAAGAAAGTTGTCCTAAACGAAGCCTTGCTTAGCTAAATTTGATTATCTGTTGACTAATTTTCTAAATTTTTCTTAATTATTTTTATAATCCTTAATTATTTATTTAATTAAGAGAAAAAGATTTTGACATTGACATTAAATTTAAAAGACCATTTGAGTTTAACCTTTACAAGATGTCAAATTCAAAATCATAAATTTTTAATTTTTAAATATCACTTCCAACTTTAATCATCTGTGACTTTTTTTTTTTTTGAATATCTTATATTTTAATTAAAAAAATATTTTTTAATAAAGGTTATTTACAATAAAATTCCCTATAGAGCACGATACATAATTTATATGCATCTTATATATGTTGTTCATATGTCAAGGGTCATATGGTCATTGCACCTCACTTTAAACTTCCAGCTTTATAAATTTAATTAATTTTAACTTGATGACCAATAGTCGTGCTTAGTTGATATGATTCAAGCCCTATATACTTCGCTTTCTGAACACTCTAGCAAGCTTGTCATTATTGGTAGGCTAATTTATAGGGGATTACACTGCTTTGTATAAACAACATAGCCTTTTAAGCTAGTTCACTCTAGGTTCTTATTGGTTCAAGTGCGCCTTTCTTACTGCTTATTAAAGTAATTTTTTTTACTAGAAAGCTTCTTAAAGAAGCAGTAAGAAAGTCGTCTCAAACAAAACCTAAATGTCACACTATCTATTAAAAATATCTCTAGAGGCTATGAGAGAATTCTATTTTGCATTATTGGCATGCACTCATCAATTTTATTGAGATCTTTTTCTTAACAATTTGGTCATTCACCTTTTCACATGACTTCCTTTAAAATTAGCCATTCCATTTTGGATAATTTTACCCTTAATATAGCTATATTATATTTTTTTAATTATTCTTTCAAGTCCACTTAGTCACACATTTTTAGTTAAGAATCTTTATAGACTGACCATAATCCTTAGACCTAATTTACTCCTAATATATTTATACTTTTTTACTATACTATCCACCCTTAGGGGCGAAACCCTTTGGAGGCCCCTAAAAATATTAAAATACTATGGTCTTTAGGTAATTGCCCCCAATATAATTAAATACATAGTGCATATGTGTTATTGTTATGGAATGATGAACCAAATACAAAGAGAAAAAGTAAATAAAAATTTGTTCTCGAGGCACTGCCCCCAAAACCCCCGCAGGGGCGCTGCCTCTTAACTCCGATCAGGTCGAACCCTGCCAGGGGGGCGCTGTCCCCTTGGACCCCCGACATATATGTCAACAGTTACTTATAAGTTTGTCCCCCCTGAAAATTATGACTAGTTCCGCCCCGATCCACCCTCATAGTCATGCTTCTAGTACATTCATTATATATTTATGCTCCTTTGACTATATTATCCACTCTATCATACTCCTTTGATGGAAATACCCTAAATTGGTCATAAAATTTTGGCTAAGTTTATCTCTATTCTAGTAATACTCTTTTAACTATACTAAGCTATTTTGGTTATGCTCTTTTGGCCAGAACATCTCCCCAATCTAGGCATGCACTTTTGACCAAGTTCTATCTTAATATAGTCATGCCTTATTGGCTAAGTTAGTC